ATTTGAATAATTTTAGGAAAGTCATATCCTAGGATTAAGGGAAAGATTTAGTCAATCCCTGATTGCGAGAGATTCTAGGGGTCTGCCTTTCCTATCTTTTCTTATTTAAGTTGTATGCTCAACATGTTTTTATTATCAATAAAGAAAATTCTCTTTTCTCTCTCCCTCTATATTTCACCACAATCCTTTTGTAAAACATACATACATATTTATAGATCGTAGCCTCATAAAAATCCTAGTAGGACTCAAACTGAATTTCCATTATCCTATTTCAATTCAAAGAAGACTTAATAACTCATTCAATGACTCTAAAACTTCAAATATAAACAAACTATAACTAGACAAATTAGACCCTATCATTGAACCCAAAGAAAAATTGTAAAATGATGAAAATAACTATACTGTCCAAAAATACAGAAATACATAAATTTTCACAAAATTCCAATTTTGACTCTTCAGCTGCTGCATCAATCAGTGAGCATGATTTCAGCATTTCTTTTTGTTGTGCCTCTGTCTATATTTATTCTCAAGTACCACTCTTTCCTAAATTTATTTTCAAGTTTGATATTACATTCGAAGCAATTGGTTAAGAGTTGTAGATTTCTGGAAGGAGCAGCCAGATGTTGTCCAAGGCAATATTTTGATTGCTAACTTAACCCAAAAAAGAATAAAGAATTTCCAAGAAAAGAAAATGAGTATCAAGGATAAAAAGCTACCTGGCATTCCTTAGCTGCATTTTTGAAGTTTAAATGGACAGGTTTTTTTTCTTTTGGTTAAGTGTTTAAGTGGACAGTTATTACAGCATTTTATGAGTATGTCAAGTTGTCAACATTTAATTTGAATATTAATAATACTGTTCATTGTGCAGATCTTCCACCTGATAAGGAACCACTTGACTGGAACACAAGAATGAAGATAGCTGCTGGTGCAGCCAAGGGGCTGGAATACCTACATGACAAAGCAAACCCCCCAGTTATCTATAGGGACTTCAAATCATCCAATATATTATTGGATGAAGGGTTTCATCCAAAGTTGTCAGATTTTGGTCTTGCAAAGCTTGGTCCAGTTGGTGATAAGTCACATGTCTCCACCAGGGTCATGGGAACTTATGGTTATTGTGCTCCTGAATATGCTATGACAGGACAATTAACAGTGAAGTCTGACGTCTACAGTTTTGGAGTAGTCTTCCTAGAGTTGATTACTGGGCGTAAAGCCATTGACAGCACCCGAGCCCATGGAGAACAGAACCTTGTTACTTGGGTAATTCACTCAATCTTATGTCAGGCTATTATGGAAATCGGACAGTACACACATGGCACACATAAAAGTAATATGTCGACAGTTTAGTAAACCAATCTAACTGATCTCCCATATCAATAAACCAACCAAGTTTAATGTATTGGCTTTCCATAAAGCAGTACAGAGGTTGGATCTGTTTGGTCGTATAACTAGGTTGACCCTTTATGTTGAAGGTCTTGTTGGTTAGGACTCATAGATTGGATTCTTCTAGGTAAAACATTGTTTATATACCGATACTCGATGTGTTTCTGATTCTCAGACTCAAATAAATATAAGCTTAGGGATTAAGGAACATCAGAAATATATAGGAATGATGCCATATAGAAAGGGTTCAATCTAGCCCTCTTCGGAGGGATGCTAGTTCCTCGATCCGTTTTTCTGAGGGGTGGCCGGTTAAATGATCAAATCATTATTGCCTTAAAGCCCTTATGATCTGCTTAATCTATCTATTATTTCTGGTTTCCTCAGATTTTCTTGCTTATATAATATCTGACATAATTGTAAGACCACTCTGACCTGCTTCTAAAAAGTGAGCCCTTCTCTTGCATCGTTCTCACTTGATTTGATTCACAAAATTGGTTTTGGGGGGGGGGGGGTGTATTGTTACTTCGTGTTTCTATTGCCACACAGCTGTACTTGACAGGTAGGAGGTATCTATTGCAGGCACGTCCCATGTTCAATGACCGCCGGAAGTTTTCAAAACTGGCGGATCCCCGCCTTCAAGGTCGTTACCCAATGCGTGGGCTTTATCAGGCTCTTGCTGTAGCATCCATGTGTACTCAAGAACAGGCAGCCACCCGTCCTCTTATTGCTGATGTTGTGACTGCCCTATCCTACTTGGCATCCCAAACATATGACCCCAATGCACCTCCTGGCCATAGCTACAGAGGTAGTGGAGATGAGAGACGAAACAGAGGTGCAGGGGCTGAGAGAGATGACAAAGGTGGAAAGATAGCAAATAATGAGGATGGGGGAGGGTTTGGAAGAAGGTGGGACCAGGAGGGATCTGAGAGAGATGATTCTCCGAGGGAAACAGCAAGGATGTTAAACAGGAATCTGGATCGAGAGCGTGCAGTTGCAGAGGCGAAAATGTGGGGAGAGAATTGGCGAGAAAAAAGGAGGCAAAGTGCACAAGGAAGTTTTGATAGTGCAAACGGGTAACATAGTACCATTGAATGCCAAGTCTCATATTCCACCTCAGGTCTTTCAATTGGACCGAGGGAAGTGAAGAAGCTAGTGAGGCTTGGTTTCCTTCTTGGGAAGTGGGAACTCCCCTCCCCTGTGGCAGCGTAGATGTGAGCACACTAAAACTAAATACATGCACCAGAGGGTTGGATATGGAAGTGATGGGAGTTGATACAATCTTTTTCTTTTTGATCTTTTCCTTTTTCACTTGGAAGGATGGGGAGAAGAGTGTATATTTGTTTATCAGAAGAATGAAGAATGAGAGTCATGTAATATGTGGATGGTCTAAACCATCAACATCTTTTAATGGCTATGTTGTAGAATGTTTCAGAAATTTTGAGAGAGTAATCACATCCAGGCCATGTTTTCATTCAACTGTTATATAAGCTGCTGCTTTCTAAATTCAATCTGTACACTTGTCTCACTCATACTTTATTTTATCTCAAAATCTAACTAAATTTGCAGTTTGGGAAGTTGACTTGGCCAAAGTCAGCCACGTACCTGATGAAGTTGCTACATAAACTTAATAAGGTTTGTCAACCTATATGGATAGTTTGAATACTGTGGTAGTGGATGTCTACCTGAAATGTTCCAACCCTTGGTCCCTTGGTCTGTGTTTGGTCGCAGTGCAATTTTATTTGCACTAGTACAAATGTAAAAATGCAAATTTATTGTAAGTTGGCGAGACAGATAAATAAGACATTGAATTATACCTGTCCAACTTAATGGTCTAAAGTATTTATTGGATTGGATCTGATCCATCCACCCATCCATGATGGATTTTTATTGGATTGGGCCGGATTGAATCAATATCTGGTCCATTGGTAGAAGATAAGTATATTTTGGATTTGAATCAATCTAAATTAAAACCAATTTCAACATATTTAATGTCCAAACATTGAATTGGATTGGTCCAAAATGGTCTAGAGTATTCATCGATTGGACTGGACCTGATTCAGTTATAATGGACTCATATCGGATTGGGCCAAATCTGGACCAATTAAAATCCCTAATACTAATAGTGCCTACAGTTGATTCTATGTAGTCCCTCTCTCTCACCACCCACACATGAAAAATTCCTAGTACAACGAACAACAAATTTTCAAAAATAAAAATTAATATTATACATTTACAATGCTGACATAAATTTGGAATTTTGTAGGTATAACCTTTAGTCTGAGTTTGAAAGGAGTATAAATACAAATATGTAGAGTGTAAAACCTTGTATTTTGTATTATTTTGTATGTATTTGCATTGTACATATTTGCAAATACATACAATATAATGTACTTTGAGAAGTACGCCAAAAGCCTGAAGAATGAATGACTCCTACTACTTGGGTCTTGGGGCACCATGCTTCAGTAGTTAACAGCTCAATGACTCACTCATACTCCAGGCAGTCTGGCAGCAGGCAGATAGCCTTTTTTTTTCCTTGGTGGTTCTCACCCCTAATCCTTAAGGCTGTGTTTGGAAACGATGCAAATGGAGTGTAAATCCCGGTTCAGGGTAAATTTGCATTCTGATTCATTTTTGCCCGTATTTGGCAACATTATATTTATGCATTGACAAATGACAAACCATTGCATATTTACATTGATAATAAGATGTAAAAGTATATCAATAAAAAATAAGTAAATTTACATTCAAGTGGGCTTTTGATAAAAAGAAGCATATGCTTTATTGAAATTCATGTTTGCATCCATTATAGCTAAAAGTCTATTTGGTAAGAAGGAAAATTTGTCAGTGCAAAACTAACCCAACTTTGCAATTTATATGAACCGTTTTACACTCTACATATTTGCATTCACACTTATTTGCAGTGTTTCCAAACGCAGCCTAAGCATTTGTCTGGCATTGATGTTGTTGCTCCAGAAAACGGTGGTACATTAGCGCCACGTGGAAAAAAACGATACTCCAAGAAACGTCAATATGTTTGGAACCGCTTTTCCATAAAAAATGGTGCTCCAAGTCACGCCTTACAAATTGATCATTTTGGCATGGTTTGGAGCAACACCAAATTCAACATTTTCTCAGATTGAAGCACGTTGCTGCCAACGAGAACATGATGTGGACTTCCTATAATGAGTACCAGTGCTGAAAACAGATATGGAGCACTGGTACCAAATAGAAGGTATTGTTGTTGCTTCAAGAAACTTCTTACCTGACAACAACGTTTCCAAACAAAAAAAAAAAAAAAAAAACATGGTCACATCAACAACACCATTTTCTACAGTATCGATGCCAAACATATACCAAATTAAATCCTTCTCCTGACTAACCGTTTCCACAATTTGAACCTAGATACGACAGAATGTTTCAATGTATCAAACCAGCTTGTTTATTATTTGGTAAAGGTTGAAATCATTTCATAATAAATCCAAAACAAAAGGAGAAATATGAGAGTATAGGAATGCTGATTTGTGAAGATATATGTTTCTCCATTAATGGATGGTGAATATATTCTTAATTAGCATGGACTTCTACTTCTGATCTCTTAGGTAGAAAACCATACATAAACTTAGCTGCTCATTCCCTAATCATCTCTCCTCCTCCTCCTAGCGGTCTGATATGATGATACTCATCATGTTGTGCTTCGATGCATTAAATAAGGAATTCACATTAGCTCCCCACAGCGTGAGCCATAAAACATCCCAACTCTTAAATAAGAGGGTGAATGCATGTATCATGAGATACCTGTCATAGACGGAACCGAACGTAAGGCAGAAGATCTGGACTATTGAGACATGGAGACAGTGCTCGCATACAGTTGGCATGGCAGATGGAGGCCAGCTTAGTAGGTGGAGCACGATAAGATTGTTTGGACTTAGGAATGCTTCTAATGGTTGCTAGGAGAGTTGGAGTTGGTAGTTCCATTCTGCTTTGTCCATGGATGCTTATAGGACTGAAATGCAACAAGTTCCCATACTGCCTTACATGCTGTCTGGACTGAAGTGGTGTCTGCCACTGCCACCATGCCACGGACGGACTCGATGACAGATCATAATATCTTTTCCAGGTGACAAATCAAAACTGTGGTTAAGCTAACTTTTGTATTTGGTCCGTTTAATATTTATAGCTCATTTAAATCGTATCAAGTGACAAAACACATTAAGGGTTCGTTTAGTTTCTATTAAATTGGGTGCAATCGAATCTTATTCCCAAGGGAAGGGGATCCGGGGCCATTCCCTCAAATGAGAAAATACCATTCTAGCTGCCAAGATGGAAATGAGATTTTGATTCCCGTGAATCAAATGGATCCTAAAATCTTCTTAATTTAAGTCCGGGTCATGACCCATGGGCTTTACAGATTTCACCCGGTCCTAATTCCTAAATGCAATTTAGATGGGCAGCTGCAAGGCTGCAAGTAGGTTTGGTTCGTGTTCTGTATTGCCTACACTTAAGAATTGAGACGAGAGGAGGAGCCCAGACAATAAACCGGCCGGAATTATCTAAACCGGTAACCACGAAAAGCCGATTTGGTTTTTCTTTCTTTCTTTTTTACTTGTCAGCTGCATAAACTTTGGTAAGGGCCAATAATAGCCATAGTGATAGTGGGAGTTCCAAATCCAGTGGTAGGGCCCAAGAGTCAAGAGTGGCAGTCCGATGATCTGCACGATATAAATTTGGAAGTATCCGGTTGGTTTGGAACATTTGGATGGGATGATTGAAATAGTACTTGGATAACGGCGATTCCTTTTTCTACGCTACTTGATAGCGTACGTTTAACATATGCAATACATACACACGGAAAAGTGATCGCTTTGGGTCTCTCACACACACATTTCTAAAATTTGATGACACCAAAGGAAATGATACAAACATTACATTCCAGCATAATTTTTTTGGCATTAATTAAGGAGGATACATCTTCATTACACATACACTAACTACAACACACGAGAGAGAATTGAACCAAATACACATGTTACAAACTTGAAAGTTGAAACTAATACATGGGACTAGTGGACAGTGGACACACACGAGAGAATTCAACACTTGTCAAAGATAGTTGCAGCTAGCAGGTGGTGATGAGGATACTTAATTGATCTGTTAAATTCACACAGTCGTGACTTCATTTGGAGCTCCCACGTTATTCTCTTTGTGGGCAGTTGGTTCACGCGCCCTTTGATCTATCCCCAGATTGCATTCGTCGTGGATCCTTGTTAAGTCGACCGAACGGACCTCGGCTGGGTTCTCCGTGGAGTTGAGCTTTCTAACATCGATGATGTGCTCGTTATTCACCTTCTGCTCCTCGATTATAACTTTCTTAGAGTCCTTGTAGATTACATATAGCAACATTTGAAGGATCCCAAAGATGAATCCCAATATATTTGGCAGCTGTAATTCATGCATGCACCACACAACCAATGTACAAATCGTTAATACTGATCGATCTTTTAAATGTTTTCTTTTTCCTTTTTTTGTTGGTGAAGTAGAAGTACTGAACATCTCATTAGTCATCACTACTTACAGCAACGTATAAGTCCTTCTGCAGGAAGCCATAGGAGAACCACATAACTGCGCTCAATGTGAGGAAGAATGACAATGAAAACGGCATGAATTCAACGCTCTTTGTACGAATAACGAGTCTCTGCGAAACAAATTAACAAACACTTGAATGAATGAGAATTTGAGATCTCTGACTAGCTAGCTAGCTAAAATAATTGATTGGTCAGGCTGCCGGTTTTTGTTTGTTCTAAGAGGCAGCAGTAGACTCTCTGTCTGTGTTGTGCATGTTCTCACCATAATGCTTAATGGCGCTGCAAAGACGCTGACAGAGAAGGCAACACAAAGCCATCCAACAATCTGAGCACGTTTGGTGCCGTGTGCTAAGAAGAGAGTGAGGAGAAGGATTAAACAAAATGTTCCAACGTTCAACAGTAGCAGTAGTTTGATAGTCTCAATCTGCAATATAATTCCGAATACAGACCTCCATTAGAATAGAACATTATTAGAGCTAATTAAAGTGGGTTGTGGTTGGAAAAGAATCTCTTCATTACGTTTACGTACCCTAACTTTCTTGGATGCATAAATCATGAACATGACAATGTATACGGTCTCAATGAAGCATCCAAAAGAGTTAATGGTAATGAGTAGATGAGCGTCAGGTTTCAAGAACGCATAATATATCCAAAGCATGGCGCTGAACAGTGCAACCACATAAGGAACCGATTGGAAGCCTTCAGTTGATTTCTTCTTGTAAATCCGGAAAAATGTTGGCCTGAAATGAAAATAGATAACCATTTAGTCCCTTGTCATCACCACACAACCTCATTGGAAAATTAACCGAAGTATAAGCAACCAAAGGACTTACAGTGGAGCAAGGTACACCATGAACGAGATGAGGTTGCCTAAAATACATCAATTGCAAGAAAAAAAAAATGGATTAATTAAATTGCTGAACAAACGACAGAATTAAATGGTGAAAAATGGCAATCATACAAAGGACTGAACAATGAGAGAAGAGAAGTGTATACTGTAGTCTGTACTCTGTACAGAACAAATAATGATACACTCTCATTCTCATTTTAGCAGCAGTAAAATAAGGGTTAAGCTAATAAAGGTAGTTCCATCAGAGAAGGGAAATATAAATTCAATGGTAGAGAATGAGTGAAGTTTGTGACTTAATTGGGGCACATCCCATTGTTCATAAAGGTATAATCAAAATCCCTATTACTCTATTACTGCAGTATTACTCCCTATTCTATAGAGTGCCTTGGGATAAAAGCATCTGCCTGTATAAGTGTATATTATTACAGCACGGCTTTTTTTTCTGGTCTTTTAATGAGAGATGTGCCCATATCAGCATACAAAATGAAACAAAAAAACTATCTGTTCTTTTTGTGTTTGTGTTGTGTGAGAGAGGTTGAAGTGGAGTGGAGCGGCGGCGATGGCAAAAAGAAGAAGTCAGAGCAATTATCATGATTATTCCAGTGCTTGGACCATAGCGAGGAATTCAAAAAAAAAAATTATTTAATAGAGTGGATCGATAAAGTCTACGAAATTGTGTGAAATGTGAAAGAAGAAGATAGAAAGAAGAGAAGTAGAATGGGTGAATAACGTGGGAGTTAGGAGTTAGGACTCTTTCTACCTAAGAGACCAAAAGTAAAAGTCCATGGGTGGTGAATGTTGAACAGGGCCATCTCAGCTCTTACAGTAGTACTCCACGTAAATAACTACGTACGAATGAACGTGAACACTCTCTCTCTCTCTCTCAAAGACAGTGTTAATTAAGAAGGAAAAATGAAGAAGTAGGGTTCAGCAGGTGAATCCCTAATCTTCTATCCTCCTGCGACTGCTACTCCTCTTACACTCTTTTTGGGGCCGGGTGCAATGGCGGACTGAGATGGATGATGATGGAGCAAGAGCTGGGGTTGAGGCATTAAATAGGAGAGGCGAGAGTGGGAGAACAGGGTGCGCATTGTGCACATACAGTTGGCATGACAGATGGAGAATTAGTAGGTGGAGTACGATAAAATCATTCGCCCAACTACAGATTGATATTAGCCACTGAGTTTTGAGTTTCTGCCTTAGCTACGTTATTCTCTCCCCGTGCCCATTGAGCGCCAAGCCGCGCTTTCACGTGACCAGTCCCACTCCGGCACTCCTAGGTCTTACGAGTTAAAACTAAACTCCAACCAAACAGAAACACCCAGCCACCAGTACCACCACCCCCTCCACGTCGGCTATCCGCCTAGCTCTCTACTTCTTTACTTTTTCCCTCCATTAAAAACATAATATTTTCTGGCGTTGGTTTTTTCTTGTCTGATTATATTATGTCCGTGCAGGGTTGACTATCTATGGATCATCTCATTCAAGCTTTGTAGTTTCAATTATCAAAGAATATTCAGAAAGGAACATAACTAAACTCTTATGATTGATATGCATCTCTTCCTTATATATATATATATATATATATATATATATATATCAATTTAAGGTGGGCCCATTTGCCAGACTCCCTTCCCCGGTCTCCAAGATATTTGGTAAAACGAATTAACTCTCTTATTATATTTAATTTGATGAATCAAACGATGGATCCCATTCTCAGCTTTGAATGAACGAATGAATGAAATAATGGGTCCCATCCCAATCCCATGAATCAAATGGGTGGCGCGTTTCAATGGAAGAAGCTGACATGCGCCTTGTGGCCTCTTGATCTTATTCTCAATATAGACAATAAAGGAAGAAGGGTTCCATAGTCCATACTACTTTGTGCCTAATGAGAAAATGTAAAAAAAAAGTAAGTATGCTTTTGGCTGAGAATAAAAGGGGATATACATGAAACTAGTAATAAAAATAAAAGGTAGTTGTGGGGGGGTAATGGGTATGGGGGGATGGCGTGGGAGGTAAAAGGCAAAGAGTAAGAGGAGTCCACGCAAGATGGAAATCATACACCTCGTTCATGCAAAGAGGATTCTCAGAGGAATCCAGCCAACCATGAACCATCCCAAGGAGAGTAGTGCACATGTGGATGTTATGTGAACATAATAAGGTAATGCTTCTGTTGCCTCACATGCTTAATTTGTCAGATGCAAATATCAAGCAAGAGAGGACTCCACGCAAGACGTGGCTCATACAGCAACTATGTGCACAGGCATTTTTGGAAATGAGGAATCTCCAAACAATAGCAGGCGTCCCTAGATTTTTCGAGATTCTCTTTTCTTCTTTTGCTTCCCCGATTTGTGATTTGTTTTTTTTGTTTACGGCGTGTTTGGAACTTGGTTGCCACCAACATTATTGACTTACATACATTTCATTCAACTTAACTTGTTTTTTTTTTTTGCTTCTTCAAATCTCTCTCTCTCTCTATTAATTATCATCAATTCATTCATTTCATCACTGAGTAGTACGTACTCAAAACCTGAACGTACCCTAATTGAAATTTACAAGTATTTCAAGGCGGAACATTTTATAATCCGTTAAAGAAATAAAGCATAAGTGAACTCGTATGTTTGTATTAGGTTGTATTACATGTAAAACTATACCAAGGCGGATTAACGTCGAAGGTTCTATGGTGTAGTGGTTAGCACTCTGGACTTTGAATCCAGCGACCTGGGTTCGACTCCCTGTAGGACCTTCTAGAATCCTCCTCTTGATGTTTAATGTTTTTTTCCTCTCTCTTCCCGTGAAACCAACAATTCCATTGAGATATTTTGGTCGAGGCAATCTCTGATTCTTGGGTGGGCCATATGCCAACTAGAAAGAATGGGCGCTCGCCCGACATCTACTGTGATCCGTCGAGTGGGCCGTAATCGAAAGCCAAGAGAAATGGGCACTCACTCAAAAGTGTCTGACTTGTCAGTAGGGGGTAGGCCAAATCTAACGCATGGGTCAATACAAAAAGGAAGATCCACATCCACTGGAGCCCAAAATCTGCTCGAGCCATTGGAGAGACTATCATATCACAGCAGCTGGGCGCACTTGCCCTTAGTTGAAGGGTGACGATTCATTCTTGCTCATCGGAAATTCGGAGAATAAAAAAAAATTGACAACTGGAAATTCTCTTTTCCATCCAATGAATGATCGACACGTAAGGGGCACCCCCCCCATGAGAGCGCTCTCATTGGATCACAACTCTGACTCCTCTGGGGTCGGGGAGGGAAATGGGCCGATCTCAACTAGTTCTCTCCCGCAAAGGGAGGATGAGGATCGTCTATTATGGAACGTGCCAGTGCCAAAGATGAAAGATCCGATCGCGGCCTTGTGCGGTCAAAACCTATCTAGTTGTTCAGCACTTGAGCTCCTACCCCAAGTACTCAACCAACTAAAGGTAGGTTTGAAGTGGGCAAGTGGTAAAATCATATAAGACAGTCAAAACGTGCATCGGGCTCGCCTGCGACCGGCCGACCTAGCTAGCACCCACACCACTCTCCCAAAGGCTCAAAAGGGTTCTCTTTCTCTCTCATCTGCTGATGGCCCAAATTTGAGCTTAAGATGTTCTTGCTATGTTTCCAAACAATCCCTTTTTTGGGTTGCTTTTAATATTGATCAATGTTATTAGGGCCAAACACTAATGCAAGGTGAGCTGCAGCCTGTAGGATGGCCAATTCAGAGCCCCAATTGGCCGGTTTATGGAATCCTTTTCAGTTTTCACCCACTTGTTTTCTGTTTCTTGAGAATTAATTAATTATTTTTTTATAGACATTTCACGGTATAAAAAGGAATGTAGGCATGATCATTTTGGCCACTTTGCTAGAATGGTCATGATAGATTCATGTCTCTTTTGCTCCCTACATGAGAGATGAATTAGGTGAAGGAATTCTTATCACAGACAAGGATATATTATCTTCTTGTTAGACCTAAAGAATGGTGACTTGGTGAGGGCTTATGTCAGTAAGCATCGTGGGTAAAGGTTATGGTTGATGTTAAGGGTGCAAGTGGGCTGGTTTCAGGTTGAAATTTGGAATATGAGCTTTTGAGGGTTGGCAAATGGCTAATGCAGCTGCAGTATAGGTTTTGAGTAATCATGGCTTCTACCCACTTCCACCCAGAAGAAGAAAAACGGTGGTAACTTGGGCAGGTTTGAATTGAGCATTTGTTATTTGTTAAAAGGTTTCAACGGGCCAGGTCCAATGCAATGAGCCAATGAATGATCTCCAAATGGGAATCGGGTATCCAATCTGCAGCACCCTTATGAATGTCATAAAAGAATATTCCTGACCAGAGCAATATCATATATATGTTCGTAAGTTGCATTCAGATTCAGATTGTGGGGCACGTAAAATGGCTGCATCTTACCTTGGACTGAGCTTCCTCATCTTTCTTTTGTTTTTGAATTGGCTAAAGTTTTTGTCCAAGTCGACGTTGGGCAGTCTTAGCTCGAGCTTCCGTTTATTGAGAGTGAGAGGGTTTTTTTTTTTCTTTTTTTTGAAAAATGATACTGCATTAAAAAGAGAAAACACCAAAAATGAAGTTTTTTGATCACACCTTTCCCGGCAGATTTCGAAAATATGGTCTGAGAAAACATTTTTCAGAAAAAAAAAAACGTATAACTAAGGCATCAGGTATGGTCTCAAAAAAACAAAATTCTTTTTATTTTTAAATAAAGATATTGGTTCCAAACACTGGTTGAATGAAATTGAATTGTGCCTGAGCTTGCCGAAGTTGAATTGGACATTTGGACTCAGCTTGGCTCGTAGCCCTCGCTGTACACAAGACGGTGGATCTGAGTGACATGATATCTAATCTGAAAATTCTGAAGTTGTCAAATAAAGTGGAATCAAAGGCTCAAAATCATCGCTTTTTTTCCTTTTTAACCCCACCATACAACGGAATTGGACTCAAAACTACGACAGCCAGCAACTTGGAATCCCCCCCTCAAATTTCTTCAATGCAATCTATTGGACTTTGATTCGGATACAGCTGTAGTTGTGTTATGGCATGTTAAGTACTTCCCAACATTTTGGCAGAGAATTTGGAAATTATTGTGCTCGAGTAGAATATTGACAATAATTCAGACTAATATGGGTTTGTATGTTTTATTGTTTTCATCCGAAAGATCACAGATTCCCATTTTCATAGGCGTGTTTGAAATTGAAAGCAAGGTTCTAAGGCAAAACCAAGATTATGCTAGCAGTGTTTCTATGGGTACAAAACTGTAAACCAAACCTGGAGACTGATGTTTATTCATTTACTATTGCAGCGAGTATTTGAGGTTCTGTGGTTAGACTACTTATAGCTCTACCGCCATTAAGATCCAAGCTCAAACAATGATCAACCCAAGGTTTTTAAAAACCAACCGGAAACAGAATCGGTCAGGGGATCGGTTTCTGGTTAAGTTCAACCGTTCGGGTCGAACGGTTCGACCCATGACATTATAAATAAAATATATATTTATAAATAATAAAAATAGAAAAAATACAGAATTAATGATTTTGGAGAATTGATGGCTTTTTGGGGAATTGATGACTTCGTTGATGATTCTTAACAAGGCCAGAGGAGCAATGTCGTTTTCCTTTTCATTTTACCTAGGGTGGATTTCTAGAATGAGGAGATTAACAAGTTCAAACTTTTTGGGGAATTGATGACTTCAATTAATGATTCTTAACAAGGCCTGAGGAGCAATGTCATTTTCCTTTTCTTTTTATTAGGGTGAATTTCTAGAATGAGGATATGAGATCCTATATGATTCTCATAAAACATTATATGTATATATCTCAAGTTGAAGAGAAATAGGTTTCATTTTCTATTATCTTTATCTATCAATTGTAAGAAAGATAGGCTTTAGGTCCTTCACCGGTTCACTGCCGCTAATGGTGGTGTGACGGTGGGCTCGCTGCCAGTGGGCTTGGGCTTGGTCATAGGTGATTGCCGCTGCAAGCCTGTAATTGTTATTGCTG